ATTGCTTGAACTTCCTGATAAATCTGGGCATGAATTCTGGGAGATTTTTGGACGCAAAGACAAAGGATGTTCTAAACACAATGTGTGAAAGTACTGTACCCAAACCATATGGCAAAGCTTCATAAGCTAGTACAAAAGTTTTCTTAAGGTCATAGTGAACAGGGAGCTTAGATTCTAGATTTAAGAATTTAAATGCCTGTGCACTGGTCTAGTGAATTTGGTTTCAAACAACTGGGATTTGTGCGAAGTTTAGGTGATTTTTGCGTCATCCGAATTTCCGAAAACTCTGAAGTGCCATGTGAAAAAAAAAATGCATATAGTTTTTTTTATTGTTTCTTCTTTCAATGCTTAGTAAACATGACAAAACATAGCTTAGAACAGCCATTAAATAAATCAAACAGTAATATGAAATATAGGCATAAATTAAAAATACTGCATCGAAGGCGTAATATTGTAAAAACAGAAATAAATAAAAACAGAAAAAATAAATACATTTTTGTTTCCCATCTGACTTATCGCCCTAGTCAACTTGCTTTTGTAAATGGGGATACATTCAATATAATCCTGTAGTTGAGCAATAATAGAAAATTTGTGAAGTGAGTGATGAGATGTATTTGTACAGAGGATTGTCTAGCAATGGGAACATTGGGTTATAAACCATGAGAGCAAAGTTTTACCTCGCCTTACAGTGGTTAGACCAATGTAGGAGTAAAAACATTTTAAAAAAAATATTACATATGGCGCATTGAACAAAAACAAATAATTGTCAATATAATTCTTACACAAGCTGTTAGTAATATGTAAACCTGCTAAGTTGAGATAAGATAGTTCAAAGTCTGTGCAGATGAGATAAGTTAGCATGTATGAGGTATATCAAACACATTACACAAATCTCAATAATCAAAAGTCAGGAAAATAGGACAAAAATAAAATTAAAAAAATGGCAAACTGTAAGCACATGAAGGCCAACTACATGAAGACCCGGGCACTAGTGGGTGTACAACTCAGAGCTTCCAGGAATACTGTCCCAAGCACGTTTGACTGGGAATCAGAGAAGAAAAAAAAAAAGATAATTATTTGAAAGCATTACCATTGGTTGTGTGATAATTGCTCATTGCTTACAGTGTTAACTGCTGAGATATAGGCAAGTGTCCATTCAGCCCTCCACCCCGACCCACAGCCCCAAGGCTAACAAGGGTCCAACATAAAACAGCCCGAGGACCATACCCACTGCATCACTAGTATGACCCCTGAAGAAGCAGGCCTCCCTGTGCTTCCCCCGCACCACAGAATGCCTCACCACCAGAGAACCCCCCCCCGAGCACAGCAGAAACGTCAGTCCAGGAGATGCCCCCCTTGAAGTGCATGGACTGACCGCCATCTGCACCTCCACAGTCCGGTAGGGCATCTCCTCCATCACCACCAGGCCCCCATAGTCCAGCCTAGCCAGGCTCACAGCGACAGGAAGTATCAGCCTTCAGCCCTCCTCAAAACCCAGAGGCGATGCAGTCCGAGTTAGGAAGAGCAGCTTATGACTGCAATTATCCTGAGCATCAGAGCAATGCAGGAGCAGCTCTCCCAGTAAGTAAGCATAGTGTCTGTCATGATTCGGGAGCCTAACACGCTAACAGGTCACAGAGAGGAAGGGTGCTATACCTGTCCTTAGAATGGCCGGGTTAAGCACACTAAGAATAGTCAGGAGACAAGCCAAGTAAAGGGAGTCAGAAAACAGGAGAGCGAGAAACAAGCTGAGGTCAAAGGAATGGAGAATACAGAAAAATTGGAATAACAAGCCAAATAATCGGTAACCAGAGAGGAACACGAGCAAACTGCACTACAGGTATCACAAGACCACAACAGGGCAATGAGAGACAGAAAAGGTAAGTATATAAACCCTGTGCTTAATTCTGATTGGTTAACTTCCAATCAGAATTCACAAACACACGTGGGGGATATTTACACCTCCCACTGTGATTATGGTACTGTTTCTTTAATGCCGTGTCACGTGACTGACCCCGGCGTTCGCATAAGTGCGCGGGCTCCCAGCGTGCAACGTTATACATGTTGGCGCTGGGAGGCGAGGAGGAGGACTGGACTCGCCAACAGGCAGGGGAAGGGGAGACCGCGGGCGGCGAAGGACTGAGGGTGAGTACTGCAAGTGGATTGCATCCTCCCCTCACAGCCACCCGCGGGGCCCTGACAGTGTCCACTCATCTGCACCCAGGGAGGGCAGGAAGGGAGTCCATGCAGGCACTTCAGGAACATGCGTGCATCCAATAGGCCAGGACAACCCCCACTATTCCCATGCAGTCCTTCTTCCAGGCAGGTATGCAACTCTGCCTGCAATGTGATAGCTCTTGTCTTCATAAAGACACATGCAGCTCTCAGACCTAGCTCTCTTTGATTTACTCCAGGGCTAGAGGCATTGTGCATCCAGCCAACATGTACAACAACACTGTTACTGGAATCCCTAAAAATCCACATATGACAGAGAATTCCATGAGGAACTAACATACACATCTTTATTTTTTCTCGGGACTACAGAGGCTCATTATATGTAACTTATGGTGATAACTGAATAAAAATACAAACAATCAAATTACATTAGATAACATACAGAACCTATAATAACATACTGGCATATTTATAAAGGGATGGGAGGACAATAATTAACGCAATATTTTTCAACTCCCTCTAGAATTAAGACTATGCAAATCTTCCTAAATATGCAAATTAACAAACATTGCTATTCAGGTAGTTGGTAGTTGTTGCTACCAACAGAGGGTGCTAGACAGGTTCCATAGTAAAATCCACCTAGTTGCTAACAAGCATCAGCAGGACAGGAGAGCATGCAAAGCAATTAACAGTAAACAACATTATGAACACCCTGCACCTATAATAGGCACAGGGTGACTTAGACTTAGGCGTAGTCCAGGGTCCTACATAAAATGTCAGTATAAAACTCCAGGTGTAACACAAGTATATACTATGTAAACGTAGATTTCTACTGCTCCTCTATTTTCCCTCTGTTAGTTACTTCTTCGCACTTCACCTGTGACCAAAATGGAGTGAAAAAGAGTCTATCAATGTGCATATTATATACATAATATTTATATTACTTAAATATTTTCAAGTACACTGATTGGCCCATTTTCAAACCCTTTTTGATTGTCCGAATAATTTTCCATGGGTGTATGAAATACCTTCCATGATCTCATTCATTATCTGATGCAAAGGGCATGTGTAGGGGCTATTCCAAACAATTCAAATTTATTTTACTGGCAGGAACTACTGAGGAACCCCATTCACTGCTAAAAAAAATATGAATAATAACATCTTGATATTTTAGTTCTGCTTCACTTTTTAAATTTCACTGCAAAAGGTACAACTCTCAATTGTTCTTATTGGAATAACATAATACTTTTAGTGAAACTAAGTTTGCTTGCCTATGGCCTAGTTTTATGCAGTCATATATTTTTGGTTTATTGCTTTAATCCAAATACAATATGAACTGTTATTTGGTCCATTAGGTTATTCAGAGGTAATTTTTGTGTTGAATTTGGCTAGCCCAAAGCTTTCATCCAAGATCTACTGAACAATAGTGGTCATAGTGGTTTAGTTATACTATTATACATCACGGTACGTGATGCACATTTTGTAGGTTTAATTATCTAATTCAAATAGGTTTTCATGGTGACAACAATTGGTTGTTCTAGTCCTAGTCTGTCCTAATCAGCAAAGTAATGACAAAGAGTACTGCTTCTGCATTTACTTCCACAGTGAAAGATGTAGCATCTATATAAATCTTTACTTGCGAGTCTGGACTTGTATTTTTAAGAGTGTAGACTCATATTTTGAATAATGGTATGTCTTCATCAGAATCTGTTTGTAATTTATCCACTTCAAAATAAAAGGTTAAACATGAGTGTTCGGTCTTAGTTTCACTTAAATCTGAGGAACCTCTGCATACTCTTTTTCTTTTTTTTTTTACATTTATTACAGTGGGGTATACAGAGACATGTGCACATTTTATATTTAAGGTGAGATTAGGTAGTGATAGAAAATGCGTAGTGAGAGTGAACACTGTTATATGAAGAGAGTTCATTGTGTGTTGAATTCAGGCTTGGTTAAACAATATTTGTGTCAAGATTAAATGCAATAAAATAAGTAATGTTTAACAGCTATGAGACATCAAAAAATTATGGTTAGTGGTAGACATTCAAGGCTAGTTAAACATACGACATAGTTTGGTACGCTTAATTTTATACTCATAGGAAGGTATGTAGCATTGTGGTAGAAGAGGCAAGAGGAGAGACAAAGAGGCAAAGCTCCACATGCACATTCATCTTAGCAATAGATATGGAGTGTAGTGGGTTAAGGTGCTATGTAGTTATGTTGTGCTGGATTGTACGTAGGTTTTGGGTAGATTGGTATCGAACATGTGTGTGTTTGCTTTTGAGTGATAGTGCCATGAAAAAGTCCAGTCCTAAAATTATATTGTGTCTGTTGGGATCATGGCTTTCAGTCTCTAGGTTCGCAGTTTGGGGCTTAATCCTACCGCGGTGTTTGGCAGGTGTCTCTTTCGTGCGGTGGCTTTCCCCTGCACTAACTTGGTGACTTGAGGCAGCAATCGTGGCTTCTCAGGTCTGGCCTGTGGGGGTGTGTTGTGGCTGGAAGGGGGCATGATGTGAGGCTTAGTATGTCGGCTCCTCAGGCCTTTCTTGTCAGAGCCAGCAGTGACAGGGTCTGGTGTTTCCTGTAGCCCCCCTACTCAGTGCTGGTGCTTTTCACGTTTTGGGTGTCTATGTTTCTTTCAGGTCAGGGGGGACTTAGGAGGTCTTCCCGTGTGTGACCTGAATGTTCTTACCTGGGTGCTGCGTGTCGGCTTTGGTAGGTTAACTCCTGCTTGTTGCCCCTGCCCTGTCCTCATTGCCTTGTTGCTGCTGCTTGTGGTCACCTCGTTCATGGGCGATGTCGTGGGTTGCAAGGGCTCTTTTGGGCTACTGCACCGTTTGCCGGTGCCCGCGTGGCTCGGGCACCTCGGTGAGTGCTGGGCCCTGCGGTGCGCCTCCTGGTATGGTCCTCATTTTGGGGGTCTGCATGAGGGCCTTCAGCTTTGTCCACAGTGCTTCAAAGATGTGGCTGTAGCGGAGCTCGGTTTCCCCTCTGACCTTTCGTTGGGCTGTGGTAAGTGAACCTTCCGCAAGTGTGTCAGCCATCTTGGAAGTCCAGGGTCCCTCTTTGTTTGAGTAAGTCACAGGCTTAGACGTGTGGTCTAGGGCCCAAGGCTCTCTGTCTGGCGGGGACCGGGATGTCCCCCACTGGTCCATGGGGGGGGTGCATGTTTTTCTCTTTTATGGCTGCTTGCGGTAGGCAGGAAAGTGGCCATCTTTCCTTGCCACCTTCCGTGTTAGGCCTCAGTTTTCCCTTATGTTGTCCAGTCATCCCGGATGTCGAGTTGGGTATCACTCTGTTCCGGCGGGTTGCCCCAGTGCCGTGAGTCTTAGTACGGGGGGTTTGTGGCTCTGCAGCCCGATTTAACAGTTGTTTTTGTAGCCCAGTAGCAGGAGCTCTAGCAGAGTGCGTCTTGCAGGCTCACTGGTTAGGCTCTGCCCCCCTGCATACTCCTTTATATGACCAATCTTCCTACATCCATGCTATTGATAAACTTGCAAGTATGTGTCATGTGGCTTTTGTCACCACATCTGTAACACGGTATCTGAGGCACTTGTTGTCGAGTTGGATATCGCTTATTTAGGTATGTATTGGTACAATAAATATCCACTTCTTCCTTATCACAAGCTGCGTAAGCTGAGGCATGGAACATTTGTGCATCTTCAGTAGCATGGTCCATTACTGTATCTGTATCTTTTACGGTAGTGCTTAGCAGTATAATCGCAACTATATCACACATGGCATGTTTAAATGATCTTCAAATCTGCAGGTCTTTGCTTATGTTAATTTATGACATATATTTTGATGATCTTATTCTGTTAGTAAAATTAAAGCCAATCTTTTATCTCTAGCAGTCAGGCCAGTTTGAGTAGGGCCGGTGCAAGGATTTTTTGGTACACAGGTCGAAGATGATTTTGGCTCCCCCTACCCCCCAAAAAAGCATCTTCACCTGTGTGCCTCTAAACACGTTATTATTTGTTTGCATTGACAAAATAACATTAACAGAAAGTAGGCTAGTGCAGAAAAGAAACAACATCACCTCTAACTGTTGTGACATTGATGATGAAGCAGTAGAGTATGCTAGTAAGGGTCAAGATGGTACTGGTGTTGGTCTGTAAGTGAGTGGGTGCAGAGGGTGAGCCTCCCTCCCTCTTTAACTGTAAGGACAGAGTGGAAGATGTCTTCAGTCCCACAGAGTAGTGGTGCGGGCCTAGATATGGATAGATTGGGATTAGTGCAACTAGTAAACAGGGATGGTAAACTATATACAGAGGGGGAAAGGAGCCCAGAGGTCACGTTACCTCTATGGTGGTCCACTGTGATGCATTCCATTCCCGCTGTCACAATTGTGTGTCTGTGAGACCCATTTTGCCCAGGTCGCCTGAAACAGCTTAGTTTTAGTTGGTGAATCAAAAGACCAGCACTCATATATGTAAAATTATTGAATTTAATCTTTGAGTTGTGTGAGGGATGGGCACACAGGGGACTTCCAGTTCATTGCGATTAGGATTGCTAATAGGGTGAGAACTATCAACTGATGGTTAGTGTGATCTATATTTTTATTGAATAACATGAGAAGGCTTGTAGAAATTGTCATCGGAAAACTAGGCACCTTCAAGATCTTTAGTAGTGTCTGGACGTCACTCCATAATGGGCAGATACCACTGCAAGTTCACCAGATGTGGAGCAAGGTTCCATCCTCAGTCAAACATTTCCAGCATTTCGAAAAAAAATGGTTGTGTATGTTTTGTGTTAACTGTGAAGTGTCATGTACCATCAATAGAGAAGTTTCTTGTGGGTCTCATTGTGGGACTAGCATTATTACTATTACTATTACTTTAGTATTAAGTGCACATGTAGCTTTAGTCAGTTTTTCTCCACAATCTGTCTCCCAGTGTTCCCTCCAGAGCACCTGCCTGTTGTAGTTCTGACCAGGCTCTATAGCATAAAGATAAAGCCTTTGGCTTGGTCAGGGCTGACCAAAACCTCTGCAACACCAATGGAGGTGACAGTAGCTGTTGTTTGCATGTGGGTTGGCGTGGAGGCCAGGATATTCCTTTATTTATAGGTAGAGAAAAGCGTCCTGGTCGAGGATGCCCAGTAATTTCTGCAAATCAGGGAAAGTTCTCACCCACTTGCCTTCCATCAGGTGGTACGCCCAGCTTTGCCAGCTGTCAAGAGACACACACAGACACATACATACAGACCAACACACACACACACACATACAGACAGACGTGCAGTCACTTCCTCCCAGTATGTGATCTCATCACAGTGGGCCCGGTCGCGCTGTTAAAGCGCTGGAACGCTCTCCAGGCCCCCTGACAATCCATCTCCATTGGGTGGCCCTGACAGCATTTCCAACCTAACACTGTCATGAATTCATCCCCCGCTTAAATTCATCCTACGCTTTTAAAGTCAATCTCGTGGGAGGGAACAGGTCGTGTTATGGTTTATGAAGGGGTGCAGGGGTCCACATGTAATTTGTCATAGACTGTCCATGTAATTGAGCCCTCTCCATGTCCACCCATTGCACCTGACCTGGGGGGGCATGAAGGGCACCCATCCGCTGCCAATAAAGTAGCTTTGAAATAAAGTCTTATGTTCAGGAGATCTACTATGCCAAAGGTTGGGAGGACATTTTTAAATTGCAAAAAATATTAATAATTTGTGAGTGTATGCATGTGTTTGTGTGTGTCTGAATGTGTGTGTGTCTGTGAGTGTATGTGTGTGTCTGTGAGTGTATGTGTGTGTGTCTGTGAGTGTGTGTCTGAATGTGTATGTTTTTGTGAGTGTGTGTGTGAGTGTGTGTATGTGGATGTGTCTGTGTTTAGCTGTAAGTGTATGTGTGTGTCTGTGAGTGTATGTCTGTGAGTGTATGTTTGTGTGTTGAATGTGTGTCTGTGAGTGTGTGTCTGTGAGTGTGTGTATATGAGTGCATGTGTGTGTCTGTGAGTGCATGTGTATCTGTATATGTGTGTCTCTCTACATGTCTGTGTGTGTGTATCTATGTGTCTGTATGTATGTCTGTATGCATGGTTCTCTGTGGGTATGTGAGTGTGTGTATGTATGTGTGTGTCTGTATGTATGTGTCTGTGTGTCTATGTGTGTGTCTGCATTTGTATATGTTTGTTTGCCTGTGTGTGTGGGGGGGAATGTGTGTGTGGGGGGGCAGGAACGTATGGGTAGGTAGATGTATGGGGGGCCCCAGGGCAATTTTCACACCGGGGCCCCATGGTTTCTAGTTATGCCTCTGACTGCAGAAATAGAGCAGAGTACCAGTAATACTCCCCAATGTTTGGGTTTGTAATCTCAGTGGTGATGAATCAACACTGCAGAAATAGCACTTTTACCTATGGCCCAGGAGGTACTCAGATTTGCCCCAGATAAATTACAGGGGGAGACTTTAGAGATGACAGGCAACAGCCCACTATAGCGGCATCTAGTGTGCGCTCACCTCCTGCATTTTCAGCACTATATCAAAGTCCATCTCTATCTGCCTCATCCAACAGAGACAATTGTGACATAAGCTGCACCTCCTACCACTGGCATAAGTATATATTGTCTATTGCGTCTATCACCTCCAACAGTACTACCACCACCAGGACCACCACCATCATCAGTACCACCACCACCACCCAATTTCCATTAGCATTAATAATTTGTATTCATAAGTTAATATGTATTAAAAGAATAAATAAATGTAACATTTATTTGAAACACTGAACAGCTACAATGCCATGTATGAGTATTGAACCTCTTGGAAATATCGGAATTTTGTAATGTTATTGTAAAGATACATATCCTTGTGTTACACCACTTACCTGGTGCTCCTAACCTGTCAAGTAGCGATCACATCAATTACACATCTTAAGATACCCGTGCCAGCATTTCCATGCTAGACGCAGTAGCCTTTCCCCTTTTTGTGATAACATGAGGCCATGCCCACATCATGATATCATTGGCACAAAATTGAATCATTACCGATGCCCACTCATGTTTTAGGGGCATGGCATCAAGGAAATGACACGCATATAAATATTTGAGCTTTGCACCTGTATGGTGAACTGTTTTGGTTTCCTTATGATACCAATAGCACAGTCCTGATAATCTGTGATTTCCTGGTTATCTAATTTGCCTTGTCTGGCTACACTGAGTTTTGTACTTCTTGAGCTGGCTTACCTTTTCTATACTGTGTTTTCACTGACCTCGGTTTGTTTTCCTCAACTCTGCTAAAGCTATTATGTTAAGCCCAGCTATTCTAAGGTCCGCTAATACGCTACTATCCTTTGTTCCTCTCTCGAGTACCACGGGTTGAAGCACTGCATGTAGGGTGTACATACTTACCTTGACAGTTAAAGCCTGAAATTAAAATTTATATTATTGTGATTTCTGTAATTTGTTGGATATAACATACCTAACATGCATAAACAGCTAAATATTTGCCCTCTGGGACAGGTTAGTTTATTTACTAAATCTGTGTTTACAGAGCTGGGGTTGTAAATTTAAAGGTACACTCTGAGGTGCAGGCAGAGCCAAGGGGCAGGCGTGAAATTTAAAATAAAGTTGCTCCGGACTCAGTTATGTATTTTATTAAGTAAAGCTATGACTGGGGGATCCAGCAGTGCCTTTTTACATTTACTACTTTACTTAAAGATTAATTCAGGTTTGCCAATATTCTGTAGCAATAATTCAATATTGATCATGACGATGGGTTTAATAAAAAAAAAAATCCCAATGAATTATGGGAAAGTCTGATATAAAAATCTATACATTTATTAATAAAAAAATAAAATAAAACAAATACAGAAATGTAGGTGGATTAGAAAACATCAAACTCTCTTTATACAATTTATTTTTATTAAAATGCACTACTTGAGCTCCCCCTTCTGATGACATTTATTATTAAACCGATTAATACACATCTAAAGGGACAGAATAGGCATTAACTGATTCTAATTGTTATGCATTATATAGATAATGCATTTAAAATATGTACAAGTTAACCAGATGTTGGATGGATAGTAATCAAGTAAGACATTCT